CGCAGGCAGAGCATCGCTCCACGCGGGGCTCGCCCTGGCCACGACAGCAAAAACCTCCCAGCCACTCACTGAGGAAGTTCTAAATGTTTTTTTCCCCAGTTTTCCAGCCCTTTAAAATACACCTGAACCTCAGGAATTCAAGGCCAGGTTGGACAGGGCCTGGAGTGAGCTGGGACAGTGGGAGGTGTCACTGCCCGTGGCAGGGGGTGGCACTGGATGGGCTTTCAGGTCCCTTCCAACCCAACCCAGTCCATGAGAATCATCATGAACAGGATGTCCTGCAAAGATCTTGGGAGAGGAGGATTTTTGTTCTCCCCAAAATCAAGATGCCACGGGCAGGAGTTTTAATACCGAGCTGCACCTTGTAACTCCAGAGCAAGAATTAACCATGATTTATTCCCTGGCTGCTTTATCTGAGGAAGGAGAGGCTCTCCCTGGGAGAGCTCTAGTGGTTTTCTTCGATTATTGTTTTATGCAACGCCAAAAAAAAAAAAAAAATTAAAATAAAATAGTGTTTTCAGCACTTTCTCATATCAAGAAAGTAATTGAGTCAAAATGAAGAAGGAATTATCTCTGAAGTTAATTATCTTGCAGACGTGTTTCACACTCTGTCATTTTTCAGCATCCATCCCCAGGATCTGGGAGCGTTTCCCTCTCCTGTAATTAACGTGCTCAGAATGTGCTGCAGGAAGTGCCAGGCGTTGGTTTTTGGTTGCAGGGGGAGGTTTTTAGGCAGAGGGAGGGAATGGGCAGCGACTCCAAATCCTGGCACAGGGTGCCCAGGTGGAGTCACCATTCCCGGAGGGAATACAGGAGCAAGGCTGGATTCCATTCTGGGAGGTGTTTGGGACATGCAGGGAGCTCTGGAGGAGCAGGAATTACACCTGATGCCACCTGGCACCTCTTCATGGCGGAGCTGGGAGCTTCATCACCACCCCTGCTGACATCCCTCTCCCAAAAAAAAAAGACTGGGATGAGCAGAAAGGCCCTGAGGGGGCCGGGACGGTTCCCTCCCTCACAGGGGTGACCCCTGGCAGCGACACCCCCGGGCTCTGCCCCCTCCCTTCCTCCTCGATTTAATTCCTTGTTCATTTAGTGCTGTAATTGCATTAGGGAAGTGTAGCAGGGCCCGGGAGGCCCTCGGGGCTGCCAAGTGCTGCTGGAACGGGGCCATCCGGCTGGGAATGGGGGGACGCTCCATCCTCCAGCCCAGCTTCCCACTGGAATCGCTGCAGCTGGGACCCCTGGGGCCCAGCCCCACACCCTGGCTCGTTAGCCCCTTCCTTAATTACCCCTTTAATCACTAAAACACAGCCTCTTTTTTTTGGGATGGTGGGAAATCCCGTTTTTATGTTGATGTGAAGCAGCTCCGTGAGCTGTGGGGGCTTCTTGGTCACCCCCGAGCCCCTCCTCGTCCCAGGGACAGCGGCTGCAGCTGCTCTGGGCAAACCCAAACCCAGACCCAAACTCCCTTTTGCCTCCCTGGTGTCCCCAGTCCCTCCAATGTCACCCCCCAAAGCACATCTCCAACCCCCCACAATGGAAGCAGAAGATCCTTCTTTTCCTGCCACACTCCCCAAATCCTTTAAATCTCACGGGGTCATCCGAGGCCCCAGGACTTGGGAGAGTCTCCAGAGCTTCACTTACTCTATCAAAGATAAGAAAATAAATCAATTCTGGTTTCTTCTCCTTGTCAGAGACCTTCTGAGCTTCCGCCTGTGCCGAGATTATCCCAGATAACAACCACGGGTGATTTGAGGAGATGTTTGCTCTCGCTGGAATTGTTCCTGTCTGACAAAAGGGACCAATTCCCTTCATCCTTTTTTTTTCTTCCTCTCCTTGCTGAAGCAGCATCAAGAGAAACTTCTGGGCCTGAGGATCAAGGGCATCCCAGTTCCGTGCCCATCCCTGACCCGCAGCTCTCCGCTCGTCACCGGGTTATTTTTGTGGCCTTAAAATTAAACACGGCCCAGCGGAGAACAAAAAAGAAAAGGGGGAAAAAAAGGTGTTTCTCGTGAAGTGAAGCAGCTTGGGAAGGTTAACGAGGCAAAAGGATCCGCTCACAGAAAACCTGGAGGTGTCAGGAGAGCCCCGAGGTGAGAGCTGATCTCGGGGAGGATTGGGAAGAGGGAGGAGGGAGGGGACACCACGCTGGCCCAAGGGGCTTATTAAAGCCTGAAGGACACCAGCAGATTAATTACAGAGGGCAAAGGTGCCCATGCCATCTATATTTAATCACTTCTCATGGGGGGAAGGTCTTTCCAACTGCTGCTCTTGTCGTGGGATGCGCCAGAATCCAGGTGGGTGGTGCCATGGGTGGCCAAACTCCAAAGAAGCACACCGGAAAAATTGTCCTTGGAGGAAGGAACTGCCCTTAATCCCCGGGTTTTGGCCTTCTGTGGGTGGGTTGGAGTGAAGGGAGAGCTGTGGAGAGAGGGTGGGCACAGGCTGGGGGTGGCAGGCTGGGGCTGGGAGGGGGTTTGTGCCCACCCACCCACGCGTGGCTTGGGGTGTTCTCCAGGATTTGGGAAGACACACCAGGCATCTCCTCGAAACAACTCATGTCCAGAGGGAAAAAGAGATGGAAAAGAAGGGAAAAAAACCCCTGTTTGGAGGCAGTCCTGGTCCCACATGTGTTACAGCCCCTGGGTAGGTGCAAATCCTGGAGTTGCTGGATCCCACGCTCGGCTGGGACATCTGGGAGCCAGCAGGTCCACGGAGCTTCCTGGAGGGATTTGCAGGGTGGTTCCCGTTCCTCTGGCCAGGCTGGGGCTGCAGCCCTGGAGCAGGGATGCAGGGATGCTGTGCTCTGGAGCAGCACTATCCACGCTGCCCTTTGCAATCCCCAGCTGATCCCGCAGAAGGTCCCCAAATATCCCTAAAATCCAGATGAGCCGAGGCTTGGCTCTGGCTGAGTGGGGCTGGAGACTCCCAGACCCACATGGCTCCTTGCTGCTCCTCCAGAAGGATCATTCCCAGACAAAACTCCATGCAGATGGAATCCTCTGCACATCCCATGGCCCTGCCAGGAGCCTCGGGATTTTCCACGCAGCGTTAACGTCCCCGCAGCCTCCAGAGGAGCCCAGAGCGTCTCACCCCCCTTCCAGGAAAGGCTTTGTGTTCCCAGAGCAGCTTTGGCAGGATAACTTGCAGGGATTTTGCATCCCAGGCTCCGTGTCCTGGCTCCAGGATCAGCATTTCCAGCTGGGAGAGCTTTGCAGCCGCAAAGAGCACCTGGGTGAGGGCGTCCCACTTAAAGCCTTCATCCCAAACACGCCGACAGTCAGCAGATCCTGCTTCATCTGCGTGCCTGGGACACAGCCAGGGGGGTGGCAGCTGCATCCAGGCTGCTCCAGGCACGGCACATCCCCATCCTGCTGCATCCAGGTGCTGTCCTGCCTCTGTCCCCACCGGCACCTGCTCGGGGAGGGCACAGCAGCGCCAGAACACCCAGCAGAGCGAGGAGGAACTCGTGACTTGGGTTCATCCAAAGCGTTTTTTTGCTTTGTCCTGATACTTCCTTAGGCTGGAAAACCTGGGAGGCCCCCAGGAGCAGGATGGACAAATCCCTGAGTGGGGAATGCAGGTACCTGGTGGCTGGCTGGAGTCCCTGCCCAGCAAAGCAGTTCATACTCCTCCCAGAAGTGCCTGCAGCATTCCCAGCCTTCTCAGGGGAGATGGGAATGCAGCCACCACCCAGGAGAACAATCCATATGCTGTGTTTGCCATCACCTCTCCTAAGGGAACATGGTGCTGGTGCTCAGAGCCCAAACTTCAATGCCTGGGAGCACCTCCGCCACGAAGGACCCCAAATCTGTGCCCTAACCACCCCCCCTCCGTGCCAGGATGGGTTTTTGGGGTGCCAAACTGCTCCACAGGGGCCAGAGCTGCCCCTTCCCAGCAAGGAGCAGCCTGGGTTTGCCACACAGCTCCCGGGAGAGACGTGACATGTTTATTTTCCCTGTGCCAACTCCCCCCTGCTCTCAGCCCTCTCGGCGTTTTTTCCACGCTGGAAAAGGGAATATTCGTCCCTCCATCCCTTCCCCACCGGCCCCATCTCCCTGCAAACAGCCCAGCAGGTCCCTCCACTCAGATTTTTTTTGTTTTTCAACCCAAACCACTCCAGGATTCTCTGATTCCACGACTGGGGCATCCCAAGATGCCCAACCACCCCCTTTTTCCACGGGCACAGCTGGGTGGGGGCCGAGGCTTCCACTGCCTGGCAGGGGCAGCAAAGTGTGAAAAAACCTGAAATAAATAAGTAAATAAATAAATAAATAAATAAAATCAAGCAACTGGCTGGTTTTTTTTTTTTTTTGCGTGACCCAAATCTCAACGTTTCACTTTGGTTTTTTTTTTTAAGCCCTGACAGGTCATGTTGGAGGAAGGAGGGGGGGGAAGAAAAAAACAACCACCCAAAACAAAAAAAAACAAACCAACATTAAGGCAAGGGGATGGTGTTTCAAACCCAAGAGTTATTGCACATAAAATAAAAAATAAACCCAACCCAAACAACAACAACCACCACAATAAAAAAGCAACCTCTCCCTGCCACACAGGAACGTGTCAGCTCCTTTGAAATGTTTCCTTGTTTGCTTGTCTCCCAGAGCAAAACAGTCAGGGAATTGTTCTGTAGCACTGCAAAATATTTAGGCTGACCCAAATCTCTTGTGTTTCTGCAGCTGAAGGGCCCCCCTGTCACCCCCCCCAGGCTGGGGATGCTTGGCCAGACACTCAGATTTCTGTCAGATCTTTTGGGGCTGTTTCATTCCTTGGGTTTGTTGGTCTTGGTTTATTTTATTTCAGGGTTTTTTGTTGTTTTGTTTTTGTTTTTGTTTTTCTCTCCTCCATTGTAGAGGTTATTAAAAAAAATAAACTTTACAATAATACATTTTGAAGTCGCCGGTTCTGAGCTGGGTTTTTCTTTTTTTTTTTTTTTCCTTTCAAAAAAAAAAAGGGGGGCAGGAAAATGAAATTAAAAAAAGCCACACGGTCGTATCTGGTTATGTATATACATACATATATGTAGGTATAGGTAAGGGGGGTATACATACACTATATATGTATATAGAAAAGAAAATGGAGAGGAACACAGAGAGGATTCTGACCCCTGATGGGTCAAATCCCATCCCAACCCCAAATTAAAATTAAAAATAAAAAAATTAAAAATAAAATAAAATAATAATAAAAAATATAAAGATCTTCCCCTGGAAGCGACAGATTGAAAACATCAGGACAGCCTCACACGGTTCAACACGAGTTTCTTTTCTCTTCCATCGGAAAACTCGCGGGGGAAAAAAAAAAACCAGAAACCACCCCGAGCAAAAAAACCCCCAAAATGATGTTGAGAGCTCCAGTGAGTCCCCTCCGAGCTCCAGGAGAGGCTCCCGTCCTCTGGGATGCTCCGCTGTGGAATCCTCGTCCCCCCAGGCCGGTGGATCCCGCGAATATTCCTGAAAATCACCTTTCCCAAAGCTCTGCTCCGTTTCTTTCCCTTCCCCAGCGCCGCTCGCAGCTCCAGCCCCCTCCTCAGTCCCATTCCAGGGCACCTCAGGGTGAGTGGGGGGGGGTTTCACCACGAGCCAGAGGGGGTGGAAAATCCTGCTTTGGAAAAAACCAACCCACCGGAAAAGACCGAAAATAAAAACAACCAGGGGAAAAAAAAAAAACCCAAACAAACCAAAAAACAACGAAACCAGGAATTAAAACCACCAAAGTTTCCCAGCGTGGTGAGGGTCCTCCTGCCCGCCTGGCGCTCCGGGGGCATTCCCGCGGCATTCCCGCTGCTCGGGAGAGTCTCAGTCCCCGGCACGAGCCGTCTGTCCCGTCCCCCCGTGGCCGCAGCAGGAGCTGGGGGTGAGGCTGAGTGCCAGCGGGGCACTGGTGGGCACTGGTGGGCACTGGTGGGCACTGGTGGGAGCGTCCCCGTCCCGCCGGCCTTCCCGCCCCTCTATAATCCCAGCAGCAGGATGGGCACGAGGAGCACGAGGAGCGGGATCCGGCCCGCCCGCTGCCGGCTGCATCCCGCCTTCTGGTCCACGAAGGTCTTCTGCTCTGGCATCGTGTCCGTGGTCAGCTGGGTCTGGGGGGGGGGGCAGAGAGGGAGTTGGCAGGGTGGGTTTTGGGGGGCTAAAAAAGCATCCAGGTGAAATGTATCCATGGGTAAACACCTGGTTCTGCCCTTCGCTCATCCAAGGGTCCTTCCCAAGCTCCCAGTCCCAGGATCTGCCTCCCTGTGCTCCCTCCCTCCCCTGCCCCCCAAACCTACCTCTGAGTAGCACAGGCTCTGCTCTTTGGACTTGTTTGGCTTCAGTCCTTGTTCCTGGGGAGGGGAAAGCAGGAAGGGTCAGGGCAGGAATGCGAACCGAGGTTTGGGATCCCCGATCAGGGCTCAGAGCCCAGGGCTGGGGGTGAAGCACAACGAGAAAGGTGAGCAGGAGGAGGAGAGGGGCTCGTCATTCCTTCTCCACAGGTGGCTCAGGGTCTTCACCGGGATCCTGCCTTGCTCCCCCAGTGCTCCTGCTGCAAACCCTCCTGCTTTGGACACCCACTGCCCACAGCTCCTCTATCACCCAGGGAGCAGAACACGGACCCACAAGCCCGGCCCAGCCCAAGAAAACACGAATTTCCCCCATTTCCCAAACCCACGTGGAATCCGAGCTGGTTTCCCGCGGCAGGAGGGGGGCTCGGGGCAGCTCCCATCAGGCAGGTGAGGGCACCCATCCCTCCCTCCCCGATTCCCTCCTCCCTCGCCCACCTGGACGGAGGTGCAGGCGGTGATGACGCTCGTGTCGTAGATGGTGTTGCTGTCGTTGACGTCGTCCGGCAGGGCCGGGCTCTTCTCCGCCTTGGGAGGCGCCGTGACGGGGGGAGAGGGGTTTTTGGGGGCCACGTTCACGTCGCTCCCGTTGCCAAAGGCCTGGATGGCGTTTCCTGGGGGCAGGAGGGGTTTAGTTGGGGGGGCTGCAGGCGATGCAGGGCGGGTGAGGAAGGCGGGGAGGTGGGTGGGGAGGTGCCTTACGGAGGCAGGGGTTTTCCGTGAAGTCCCGCAGGAACTTCTCGCACTCCTCCTCCATGTTCCCACTGCCTTTGCAGGAGCACCAGGGCGAGATGGTGATGCTGGTGGTGCTGGCATCGATGTAGTTGGGGGTCATGTCGAAGCCTGGGGAGGAGGAGGAGGGACAGGGGTGAAGCCACGGTGGGAGGGACCCCTGCCCAGCCCGAGGGTGGCACTCACCGATGAGCCCCGCGTAGGAGCCCAGGCACGCCTGGTAGTTGTCCCCGGGGCAGCTGGTCAGGGACTGGAAGGTGGCCTGGCAGTTGGTGTGGAAATCGGCCAGACGGGACCTGGAAGGGGAAGAGAAGAGGGAGAGGGAGGGGGATTTCACTGCCGGTCCCAGCACGGAGCAACCGGGAAATATTTCAGCAGGATAAAGGGGGACATAAAGGGGAAAACAGAGGGGAGAAATAAAGGGGGACAGAAAGGGGATAAAAGGAAGGAGATCTAAACAAGAGCTGGACTCAGGTGGTGAAACTTCTTGTCCCACCTCTATCATCCCAGCCTGACAAGGGTTATGGTTTGAGGGAGCCTGCCCTCATTCCTGAGGGAATGACCCCCCCCCCCAAGCCTGGGATGCTCATTCCTCCATCCCTCCCTGCTCCCCAAGCCCTCTCCAAGTGCTGCTCCGCCGGCAGAGACCCCATAAAAGTTCCCAGCCTTAGTTTGGCCTCTCCCAACGTCATTACGGGACCGGAAGATTTCACTGCCTGGATTTATCCTCCCCCTGGAACGTTCCAACTCGGAGTGCAATTAAAATGCCTGAGGTTGGGGACTGCAGTTTTCCTTTCTTCTTTTGAAGTCGAGAAAGGGGGGGAAAAAACCCCAAACCCACAAGAGGCAGCGGGGTGGTGGGGGAGAGAGTTCAGTGGGAGGTGTCCCAACCCAAACACTCCGTGATTCCACTATTCCACGATTATTCCCAGGTGTATCCATGATCTGGCCCTGCTGCCACAACCCCACCCCTCGCACATGATGCTCCTCGTGCTGGGACACCAGGAGGGACCCCCGAGGCCGGGGATTGGAATTCCCAAAAGGAGCGGGAAGAGCGGAGCAGAGGATGGACAGATGGCCCAGGGGGACAGAAGGACGGGCTGCAGATTCCCAGGGGGGACTCAGCCCGAGTCGTGGCCCCCTCTGGGCCTCCATCAGAGGGAGGAATCTCCAACACTGAGGATGAGCTCTGGCACTTCACAGCGGAAAAGCTCCTTTTTTTCCCCCCCACTTCACACACCGGGGAGGAACAGGAATACATTATTTCCTTCAGCTTCCTTTCCTCCCTTCTTAATTAAATGTCAGCTTTGTCCAGGCGGTGATTGAATCTTCCAGCAGTACCTGCCTGGAGCCACAGGAACCGATGGAAAACGAAGGCGAGAAATTGCGTTACTCCTTTTTTTTTTTCTTCCTTCCTTAAATAGGAATGATTTGTTTTCAGGAGGCTTTTGATCAAATTAAACGCAGGAACAAATGAAGCGGCGGCTGAATGGAGCTGCAGCGATTCCTTCCGCCCAGCCCAGAATTCCTCCCTGTTCCAGAGGGATGGGATTCCTGTAAGGTTCCTTCCACCCCAGACCACTCCATGATTCTCAGGTGGAGAGGGAATAAAGCCCAGTTGCTCAGGGCTGGGCCAGCACGCTGGATGCTCCCTGTGAGAATGCAGTGGATTCCTGGAGACTCTTGCAGGTGACTGAGGCTTTTTTTTTTCCAGGCCATGGGGTTTCCCATCCACCAGTGCAACCAACTTCTGTGGAGCAGCTGAGCCCCTCTTGGGGTCTCCTCGTGCTCTGGGGATTCCAGCACCACCCCTGGCCGAGCTGGGAGTTTGGAAAGAGCTCACCCATGGACTTGGCACCTCCTCTTTGCCGCTTCCCACGCAGGTCACACTCAGTTTTCACCTACCAGAGGCACGAGCTGGATTATTTTCCCACTTCCATCAGCTCTGCCTGACCCATTTCCAGCCTCCCGGCAGGCTGCGGATTTCCAGGGCAAGGTCGGCTCTCCAGCTGGGTTATCCAGGGGAAAACAGGACTCCTGGGCAGGACCAGCTCCTCTCCTTCCACCACCCACAACCAGGCAGCTGCTGATCCTTCCACGGCATCCAAGCCAGGCGTCACCTCGGCCGGTCTGGAGTCGCTGGGTGGGAGACTCAGTGCCAGGAACAAACCTTTCCTGGAGCTGGCCCAGGGCTGCTCACAGCGCTGCTTTTAAAGTGCCCTGACTGAAAACAAATAAAGAAAAAGGCAGAGGAGAAGGAGCCAAGTCCAGCTCTCAAGCAGGAGCGGCAGGAACTGCTGCCAAATTGCTGGTTGGCAGCTCGAGGCAGCAGGTGGGGTCGGCCTGCAAAGGGCAGAGCTGGGCTGGGCAGGGATGGGGGAAGAGGTGTGGGGAGTGTAGGGCCCAGCAGGTTATTCTGGTGAGAGGTCTCCAAAAAAAAAAAAAAAAAAAAGACTAAACCCCAAAACAAGTGACAAAGGTATTAACAAAATTTAAGTGTAGGCAGAGCCCAGCACGTTGTTTTCCTGAGAGGTTTCCAAAAAAAAAAAAAAAAAAAAAGGAAAAAAAAGATACAAAAAAAACCCAAAAGGAGTGAAAAAAGTATTAACAAGAATTAAAGTGGATGTATGCACACGTATCCAGACACGGATCTCGCATCCCCAAACCCTCTCCCAGGGCTGGGTTTTGCAGTTTGGGGGTTCCAAAGCGGCTTCTCCTCGCTCCATTTCTTTGGCTTCAGGTGAAGATGCCAAGAGGAGGATCCTGCCATCCCAGGAGCAGCCCTGAGCCCTGGTGAGATCCCATCCAAACCCAACAGCTTCCTGAATATTTCACATCCAATATGCCGAGATCGCTCCGGACTTTGTGTTGGGTTTTTTTTTTTATGGCCAATTTGTAGAGGGGAAAAAAAAAATGGCTTTAATAGATGCAAGCCCAGAGAGGCAGCCGGGAAACACGTCCATCCCCACACCCCTGCAGAGCCGGGGATGTTCAAGAAGCTGCGAGAACACGATAAAAAAAAAAACCTAAAAAACCAAAAAACCTGAGCGAGACATGAAAAAGCCGCGGGCCCGCTGGGCATCCTCCTCCCAGCACTGGCTCTGCCTCGTGTCCTGCTGGAGAGGAAGCCTTTTGAAGCCGGGAGATGCTGAGATAAAAAACCAAAATTAGCCTCAAACACGACAGAACAGCGGCCAGGTGGTTCAAAGAGCCCCCGGGGGGATGGGGAGCAGCCGAGGAGACGAGGGAAGATGGAACAAAACTCGGCTTTGCTGGATGACCCTCCACCAAAGGCAGCGAACAGTTCAAGGGGGAGGGGAAAAAAAACCCACAAAAAACCACCAAAAAACCCCCCAAAAGATCAATGGGTAGATTTGTTTGATCTGGGAAAAGTTCCGTGCCAGCATCTGGGGAGTGGAGTCACCTGTCCTGGTGAGAGCCAGGGGGGTCTGAGTTGTGGTTTTAGTGGAAGCTGAATTTCTGCAGGGGCAGGAAGGGCGGGCACTGCTCCCTCATCCCACGTTCCAGGAGGAATTCCTTCACCAAAGGGGCTGCCCAGGGAGGTGGTGGAGTCCCCAAGGAGCGAACTGGAACGTGGCACTCAGATGCTCTGGGTGGGGGTCAGGTGGGACTCGGTGATCTTGGAGGGCTTTTCCAACCCTCAGCCATCCCTGTGGTATCTGCTCCTCACTCAGGGATATGGGGACAGCAGGGGAGGGAAAAAAAAAGGCAAACCCCACGATAAACCAAAGGAGAAATCCCCAGATTAGGGTAGGGGGAGGTAAGCCAGCAAGAGAGGGGAAAAAAATCAGGAGAAAACCCCACCCAACTTCCAAGTCAGGAGCTGTCAGTTGAGAAGCCGAGTTCTCATCGTGCATTTCAGGACACCACATTCCGATTCACCGCTGATAAGGGCGGCTCAAAGGCTCTTTTTTTGGTGGGACTTTTATCCCCTTGCCTCTGCTCGAGCCCTATCATTACCCGGGGAGGGAAGAATTAAGCACACGCATCATTTGGTTTTAATTGAGGGCCTGTTCTATCCCATTGAACTGCTAACTAAGCCGAACAGGAGATTGTGTTTACACAAGCAAAGCCAGAGTCAGTATAGACTTGCTGTCACATTAAGTCAATACTTATGAAGCCTCTCGATTTAATTATTCAGCGAGAATTGACTTATTATTGTGTTAAGAGCCCGGGGAGCCTCGAGGGAGCTGAGCCCTCCCAGCTGCCTCCACACGTGGGGTCCCAAGGGAGGGTCACCCACAGGGTGCTGCCCCACCCTGCATCCCCTCCCTTGCCCAGAAATCCAAATCCACGGATCTTTAGAGGTTTCCTGATTTAAGGTTGGATGGGGAGGCTGGTTGTTGCAGGCTGGGAGCTGGGGGAGTGCATCAGCCATGCCCTGTCCCCTCCAAACTCCAACCATTGCCCCTCAAACTCAATGACTGCTCCTCTCCACCAGCTTCCAGAGCCGCTGCTGAACCCAGGAGCAATTTTTCCCTCCTCCTCCTTCCTCTTCCTAGACAACCCAGCCGTGCTCATTACAGGGAGTAATGAGAAAGTTGAGCTGCTGCTCCGCTGTTTATCAAGGAAACATCCATTATGGATGGCATTTTGTCTGTGCTAAACAAAGGCCGTGAAGGCGAGGAGGAGGCTTTAAAAAAAAAAACAACCAAAAACCAGAAGTGTTTTGTTCCCACGTTTGGTGTTTAATCAATACCCAGCCAGGCTGAATCCGCTCCTTCCCATCCCTGGCCAAAAAGAGGCGGCTCTGCCGGGCCAAAACATCTCCCTGATGGACACAGAGACCCTGGGAGGGGCTGGGAAGATCCCTCACCCCCCTCTCCCCCCACTCCCCCAGCCTTAAACACACCAGAAACAGAAATAAAAACTCCAGATGAACCATCATCAGGCCCACTTCTGGATGCTGAGGGAGCTTCCAGCCAGTGGAGGCTGGGAAATTCTTCAGCACCAGCACCACTGGAGCATGTAAGACCAGATTATTTGTGTTCCCGACTTGCTGATGCAAGATGAAAAAATACAGCAAAACTGCAGCTGCTGAAATCAGCTCTTTTTCTCCCCTTCCCTTTCCCTTTTCCCCTTCGCTGAGGTTAGTGCTTTTGCAAAAGGGTTTTTATATTCTGGGAGCTAAAACCTGTCCGTTGCAATCAGACACAAAAGCCCCGGGAGTTTGTCAGGCTCTCCCGTGTGCCGGGAAGAGCTTCCCTGGCACAAAAGAGCTGCACAAATTGCAGCGATCGAGCCCGACAGAGACGGGGAAGGGCCCGGGGGCGTCTCCCCAGGGCGGGGGGGAGGGTGTGGATTTTTTAGCAGTCACCCGGGTCGAGGCCGTTGGAATTGATTTATCCGGAGCAAAACCCGGGACTGCTGCCCAGAATAACCCACATCTCGCACTGCAAAGCCAGGAAGGGGATGGCACAGACCGAGCACTCGCTGTCGCCCAGGGGCTGGGTCCTTGAGGGGACACATCCTGCCCCTTTCCTGCCCTCAGAAGGACAACACAGAGTGTCCTCCCAGCCACGGGGACCCCCAAGCGACCAGACCTTGCCCAGTGCTTAAAACACCCCTCCAAAGCATCCAGAACACATCCTCATCTTGGGCAGGATGGAGGAGCTGGAGCCTTTTATCCCCACGCACCTTCGTGACTGATCAGCCCCCACAGAACCTCCCAGCCCTGCACACCTGGAAAACAGCAGCAAAAGGCCAGGAAACCTCCAGGAATGGGTGATTCCCACACTGGATCTTTAATTTGCCCTTTCCTCTCCAACTCCTCTGCTTTTCTGGGGAGAAAAAGCCCCTTCCTGGATCATCTCATCTCCTGTCACCGCTGGCTTTGGGAGCACTCGGGATCTGTTCCCAGTTCAATCCCTCGCCAGGCCCCTGTCAGATGAGGATGAGCATCAACCTGCTGGATAAACACAGGGATCAGTGGGAAACCCCACAGACAAGGCCCTGGGATGAGGGGACAGGGAGGGGTTTCGTGCCAGGTCGCTCCTGTGTGGAGATGCCAGAGGGGAGTGGATGGGATGAGAAGCCCTGAACGAGGAACCCCTGAAAACCCAGATTCCAAGGAGTGCATCCATGTCCTGGAACACCCCACCACGAGGGAAAAACGCCTGAGGTTTCCAGCACAGCTGGACACAATGAATGCTGGATTGGGGTTTAGGAGGGCAAGACTCCCCACCTGGGCAGCACCCAGCACCCATCCCCACACGGCTTCTCCCAGAAAACTGCGCTTCCATCTCGGAGCAAACACTCCAGGCAGCTGCTGCACCTTCCCCCATCATGCTGCTGCTTCAACCTCTTCCTGCTGGGGTTTCATCTGGGGCACAAAGAGGCTCCTCATTAACGCTCGGCAGCTCCGCGGCCGCCCGGCCCCGCTGGCCCGGGTCATCCCTCTCCCGCATCCGCAGCCGTCCCCCCTCGGAGCGAGCTGATGGAGAGGTGCTGCCACTCATCCCTATCTTTTATTCATAGACGCTGCCTCGCTGTATTACTTTTTGATAAAAAGCCCCATTCCCACATTTCCAGCGTCTCCAGAGGAAGACCCAGAGCTCTCATTTCTTTCGCCGCCGAGCGCCGGGGAACTCCATCACCTTGATGGCCAAAAGAGCAAAGCCCCTCCTCCTCCTCCTCCTCCTGGCAGGAGACAGATCCTTCACGAGGCTGATCCAGCCCCTGGAGGGGTGACAGGAGAGTTTTTTTTGCCGTATGAATAATGAGTTTCATAACTGAACAGGAGCTTGAGCTCCCACCTTCGCTCCTCCATGGGGGAAACAGCGGATTTCACCAGCCGGGAGGGTTTTTTTGGGGATGCCAGGAGCACAGGGAGGGATTTGGCTGCTTGCAGGGCACGTGTGGCCTCCTGCCACGGTGCCCTTGCACGTTCACCCCTCCACAGCTCGGGGAGATGGAGCAATCCCAGGTGGGGAGAGTGGAGCTGCACATTCCCCAGCGGCAAAGATGCTCCGTCCCCGTTTCCTTGGATTCTCCAGGTCCCACACCTAATGAGGACACGCTGGGAGTGCAGCCCCCGGGGAGCTGGGATTCTCCAGGTCCCACTGCCAACTGGGACCAGCCCCCGGGGAGCTGGGATTCTCCATTTCCCCCTGGGACTCTCCAGCCGTGCCCATCCCACCGTGCTCCCCTCCTTACCTGCACAGGTGATCCGCCCGGCAGGTGCTCCGCAGGTCCAGGCAGTTGGGCTTCTCCTTGTCCTCGTAGGAGCAGGAGGGGACGATGGTCTGGCGGCGGCGCTCGGCGCAGGCGCGGTCCTTGCAGGAGCAGAAGAGCAGGCGGAAGGTGAACTCGCCGGGCACGCGGTCGAAGAACTGGCGCAGGGCCTTGTGGCACTTGCGGCGGCTGCAGGGCTCGGAGCCCGCCAGCTCCCGGCTGCACGTGGAGATGTACCCCGAGCGCAGCCGCTTGCAGTTGTCGTTCAGGTTGCAGGCCTTGGCCGCGTCCAGGCAGTGGTTGCTCTTGGAGGTGGCGGCGGGGTCCATTCCTGGGCAGGGAGGGAGGGGAGAGGGAGGTGGGGAGGTGGTCTGGGTCTGGGGACAAACCCTGAAACCCAGGGAGGAGCCCTCAGCCTGGAGAAGATGCCTCTGAGCCTGGGGAGAAGCCCTGGGATGCTGAAGAGAAGTCCTCACGCCTGGGGAGAAGCCCTGGGATGCTGAAGAGAAGTCCTCACGCCTGGGGAGAAGCTTCTCAACTCAGAGATTAGGAGGAGCCCTCAGAGCTGGAAAAGATGCCTCTGAACCTGGGGAGAAGCCTCTCAAACCTGAGACTGGGAGAAGCCCCTCAAACCTGGGGAGAAGCCCTCAAATCCAGGGAGAAGCTTCTCAACCCAGGGATTAGGAGAAGCCCTCCGAGCTGGGAAAGATGCCTCTCAACCTGGGATGGGAGAAGCTACAGGGAAGCCCCAGCACCTCCAGCCCAGCCCAGCCCAGCCCTGCCCTGCTGGCAGTGGGGAAGGGGCTGGATGGTTCCCCCCTGCACGGTTTGGAGGCCCCCATCCAGCACAGGGAGGGTTAATGCCCCCCAAAAACCAGAGGGACCTGGTCAACCAGCCCTCGGTGCATAATTCATGCCACGAATTTGCAGCATTTTCTTCCCTTTGTCAATTATTCAAAGAATAATTATTAATTATTCAGCCCTCTCCAAAGCAAGAATAGTCTGCCAAACCACACAGGACCCTCCCCTGCCTCAGCCCCCACAGCCTCTCCTGGGGCTCCCCAAAACTGGGACACCCTCATCCCTATCCCCCCAGGCTGCCAGTGGACCCAAGCACTGCATCCCACATCCATCCCAGGAATCCCAGGATGGACAGAGCCAAACCACAGCAAGGGGAACAAATGCTGAATTTTCCCTTTTTTTGTTGGTTAAAATGATGGATCACCCTGAGCAGCCCAGGTGCTATTTTTGAATCCATCTCGTCCCTCCTTTCCTCCCCTCCACAGCCCAGCCAAATCCATGGATTCCTCTCTTGCTTCCCCCCTCTTGTCCAAGCCCCCTGAGCGTCGCTCCTGCCCTGCCCAGGACCTGCAGGGACCTGGATGCATTTTAATGGGTTCCTGGGGAGCTCATTAATAAAGCACAGGCATGAAAGTTTCATGAGCAGAGGAGGAAACGGGGGGCCAAGGGGCTGGGCAGGGGATTTGGGGCCACCAGCCATCCCCTCTGCAGCCCCTGGTGGCCCCTCAGTGCAGGATGGGGGGCAGGGACAGAGGAAGAGGAGGGTGATAGGGAAGGCAGCGCTGCTGGGCTGAGTCTAGGGGCCCAATTCCCACCCAGCTCTCGGGTGTTGGTGCCCACAGGGCTGGATTCCCACCTGGAGCCTCCTCCTTCTCCCCACGGGCTGTGGTTCGCCCTGGGGTGCAGGTTTGGAGGGGAACAGTGAAGAGGAGAAGGAGCAAGAAGAAGCCAAGGCACTGCTGACCTAATTCGGGGAGTGGCAGAGGGAAGGTTGTCATGGAAATCGACGGCAAAAAAGAAGTTGCCGGGGACGGTGGAGGAGTTTGGGATCCCGGGGGTGGGGGGGGAGGCACAGAGATGCTCCAAGGGGCACAGAGATGCTCCAGAGGGCTCAGCATCCTTCTCCCAGCAGCATTCCAGAGCTCAGTTCCAGGCCACTGCCCCAGGGAGGGGCAGCAAACAGGGTCCCCCCTCAGCTCCCCCAAATATGGGGCATCCTGAGGGGCCCAAATCTTCCAAAGATGTGGAACAGGGTGGATCTGGACCCCCCTGAAGCCCAGGCTGTGCCTCCCCCTCCTCCTCACCCTGATGCTGGGGACAAGGGAAATCAGGGATTTAAGGGAATTTCAGCCTCTCCAGCCCAAACCTCAGCAATCCTCTCTAAATCCATGGTTGAATCCAGAAGGTAAAAAAAAAAACCTAAATCCCAGCCTGGGGATGTCTGAAACCAAGAGGATCTGCCCCAAAATGCACCAGCACCCAGGATCCAGCCCTTCCATCCCGCTCCAGCATCCCAGCCAGCTGCAGGGGCCTCGTGTCCCCCCCCAGATTGATGCCCAGGGCACTAAATTTGGGGTGATGGGCGATGAGATGGGCAGGAAAGCGGCTGGGGGGGAGGAGCTGTGGGTTTCCCTCGCCAGGGAGCTCGGTGGCAGGTCTGTGTTCCCGGGCAGGGAAGATAAAACAGCCAGAGCATGTTGCTTTTATTACCTGAGAAAATTGAAGCAAGCCTGAATATATCAGAGAGACGAGAGGTGACCGGCTCGTAGGGGGAAGCTTCATAAAATTCTTCTCCTGCAGCGGGAGGGGAGGAAGAGAAGAGGGAGGAAAAGCAAATGAAAAGCCCACAGTGAATCATCCTCCAGGTGAGCACCCAGGCCCACAGCCTGGGATTTGGGAAGGGGGAAGACAAAAAGCCTTTAGAGAGCGCTGCCCTGACACACGAGGGGAAGCCAATTTTGGAGCAGTTCTGGCCGCTGGGGAGGTCGTGGCCGGGTCCTGCTGCCAGCTCAGCTCCCCCTTCCAGCTGGGTTGCTCGAAGCGACTCCAAGAGCTGAGGGAATTTGGGATTTGAAAGGTCAGTGTTCCCTGGCCACGGCCCCCCAAGTCTGGACCAGTTGCAGGGTGGAAGTTTGAGGGTCTGTGCTCAGTTAAACTCCAGAAAAAAAAAAACAACAACACAAAAAGAAAAGCCAATTTCTGGACAACCAGCCACGGCTCTCGGGAGAGGAAACGCTCTCCCCAAACCCCAGCAACCACAGGAAAAAATGAATAAAATATATATATGTATCTATATCTATAAAAATGAATCAATGGCTGGACTTTGAAAGCCCTGGTCGAGGCTGAGCAGCAGCTGCAGCATCGATCCTGCCGTGCCGGGCATCCCTTCCCCACCATCCCTGCAGGGTGGAGGCACCGGGATGGAGCCTGGGGTCATTCCCAGTAGCTCCTCAGTGACATTCCTTGGAAATCTGGGAGGTGGGATGCCAGGCTGGGCCGTGCCTCCATCACCTGCTGTCCCCACTGCTCCCAGGGTGGTGCCCTTTGGGGGCACAGGGAAGGGAACAGGCTCTGGGCAGCCCGCAGGGTCCTCCTCCAGGCCATCCCCCACCCCAACCTCCCTGGGTTTCCTAAAGCTCAGATGACAAACAGCACCTTTATTAAAGTGCATTTAGGAAGCACAGTAACCTCCCGGTGCATTGCTCTGCCAATGCAATGAATAATTAAATCCCAGCTTGACTCCCGCTGCTTGCGAGGGAAATTACCGAGCATTAAAAGGGCACTGGACCTGCCTCGAGCTCCCAGAGATACAATTAACCCCCAGGAATGAGGCTGGAGCCAGAGCAGCCCTCCCCAAAGGCAGGGACAGGGGAGCTCCAGCAGCCCAGGGCTGGCTGGGAGGACACCAGCCCCAAAATCTTGGCTAAAATGGCACGAGATCAGGATCTCCTTTGGGTTCCTCGCTGCAGGTTGAGCTGCTGCATCACCCCAAAGCTTCCACCTCTCCTTAAGACTTGGCATAATCACTTCTCTTCCCACCTCCTCCTCCTCCTCCAGGTACAGCTCCTGGAGTACCCAGCAAGCCCTAAAACGTCCCTCATTCATGCTGGCAAAGCCCTGGGAAGCTGCTGAATGAAGGCTGTTAATGAGGGGGAGAAAACAATTACGGAGTAATTCCTGCTCTGGGACGGGTTTTGGGCTGGCAACTTCCTGTGCTGACCCAGATTTGAAGGGAATTTCACCCGGGGGGGCTGTGTACTCAGGTACAGCCCCCCCATCCTCAGCTACAGCTCCCCCACAGAATCCCAGAATCCCAGACTGGGTTGGGTTGGGAGGGACCTTAAAAACCTCCTTCCAACCTCCCCTCCCCGCGGGCAGGGACACCTTCCACTAGTCCAGGTTACTCTTGCTCGAGCTGAAACTGGATTTAGGAGTTTCCCACGTGCAGCACCAGCCCCAAGCCCCTTAAGGGATCTAAATACATATCTTATATATTGTATATATTGTATATACATATATATGTGTTAATAACCTCTGCAACCCCTGCCCTGTCTGGGGTGCCCATCTCCCTTACCTGGGGTGCCCACCTGCCTTCTCTGAGGTGCCCAAGCACCACTCAGCCCGTTTCACCGAGACCCCCCACCCTCCAGCCGTGCCATCACCCCCAAACCCTTCCCATACCTTCGGTCAGCCCCAGGTGTATACTCCAGTAGATCTGAAGGCACTGAAGCTCCTTCTTCATGCCCCTCTTGCAGCGGCAGTCGTAGAGGGGGCTCTCCTGCAGCACCTCCAGGGCCGCCTGGCACTCCTTGTTGGCCAGCATGGTGTTCCTGTCGCGCCCGGCCAGGCACTGGCGCAGGGTGCGGTAGCGGGAGCTGCAGCTGGGCTCGCCCGCGCACAGCTCGTTGGCCCTCACGCAGTCCACGGGCACCCTCCACCCGCGGGGGTCCTGCCCCGCCGGGCCCGGGGGGGCGGCCAGGCAGCGCAGCATCTCGTCTGGGGGGCCGGGTGGGGGGGGACACAAGAGGTGAGGGATGGGGTGTGAACGTTCCCCCATCCCCACCCCGCATCCCCCGGGAACCCCGCGCGGCCACCCGGGTGGTTCCCGCAGTCACGGGGTTATCCTGAGCTTGGGAGGGAGCCACGAGGAGCACCCAGTGCAACCCTCAGCCCTGCGCAGCCCCAGCCCCAAGGGTCACCCCCTGTGCCCCAGAGGATCATCCAAACCCTCCTGCGGCTCTGGCAGCCTTGGGGCTGTGCCCACTGCCCTGGGGAGCCTGTTCAGTGCCAACCACCCTCTGGGGAAGAACCTTTCCCTGAGATCCACCCTGAGCCTGCCCTGACACAGCTCCAGCCATTCCCTGGGGGCTGTCCCTGGTCCCCCCAGAGCAGAGCTCAGACCCTGCCCCTCCTGTGCCCTGTGATGAGGTTCCTGGTGGAGACACCTTTGGGCTGCTCCGGGGAGGGAGAGAATTGTTCCATCACGCCTGAAATTGGCCTGGATGTGCCACGGAATCGTGGAATGGTTTGGGTTAGAAAGGACCTTAAAGGTCAAACTGAAAGAGGAGAAATTTAGGTTGGATGTAGGGAAGAAATTCCTCCCTGGGAGGGTGGGGAGGCCCTGGCACAGGTTGCCCAGAGGAGCTGTGGCTGCCCCATCCCTGGAAGTGTCCAAGGCCAGGTTGGAGCGACCTGGGCTAGTGGAAGGTGTCCCTGCCCATGGGCAGGGTGTGGAACTGGATAAATTTAAGGTCCCTTCCAACCCAAACCATTCTGGGATTCCAGGATCTCATTCCACCCCCAGCCACAGGCAGGGACACCTCCCACTATCCCAGGCTGCTCCAGCCTGGCCTCAGACACTTCCAGGGATGTCACCAGGCACCCCTGGAGCCAGGAGGTGCCCCACGGTGTGGAATGGGAAGGTGCAGGGTTAACCCACTCCTGGCCCCACGTGACTCCACGGGACCTTCTGCTTCTTATTAAAAACCAACCAGGCAGATCCGTAACCCTGATGTGTTCCCAGCCCTGAGGCTCTTCCCCCTGGGATGGCCTCCTGCATTCCCCCCTGTGCCAGCCATCCCTTGGGGTGGCAATTGCCCCTCCTGCATCAGTGCAGTGCCTGCACCCAGTGCTGCCCCCCCAGAGGGTGATGGACAGGGGGACCCCCCCTCGTGAGTGCCCATCCCTGAGCCCCGAGGAGCAGCATTCCTGTCCCACGGGCACTGGGAACCTCCAGCTCCCAGCCCGGGTCTGGCAGGGGGACAGTGACACCTACAGGAATGTGACAAGGGCCACCCGTGTCCCCCTCGCCCTCCAGGACACGCAGGCGGCTCCAAACAGGCAGGGTCAGGCCCCTGCCACCACCCTGAGCTGGGCATTTGTCCCCTGCATCCCATGGCGCACCCCCTGCAGACTGGCCATTGTCCCCTGCCTCCTGCATCCCATGGGAAGGAGGCCAGGTGGCCACACCCAGCTCTGCCCCCCTTGGTCCCTGTGCCACAGGGGACACTCGGGGGGGCCTCTGTGCAGGGGACAGGGGTGAAGGATCAGGAGGGGCAGCAGCCCAGGTGGAAATGGCTCCGCTGCCCGTGGTCAGTCCGAGGAACAGATCCCACAGATCCCTCCTGGTCTTCAGCTGACGATCCCAAGCGGGTTCGGAGGGGTCCGGGAAACCGGGACGAGATGCAGAGCTCCCACACCCACGTTAGATCCAACCTCGGGGTGGCAGATGCCCCCTTGGGAAGGCCATCCCTGGCCTTTCAGGATTATATTCCACACGGGAGGCAGGCAGGATCCATGCAGGCACGCTCCTGGCACACGGCCTGGACTGCTGGAAGGAGGAACAGGCAGCCCCAAACGCTCCTCAGGGCAGAAGTGCTGGATCTCCACCAGGCTTTGGAATGATGCTGGAAGGGGCTCTGCAGGTTCACACGCTGGGAAACCCCAGCCTGAGGCATCCAGACAACCTGATCCTGCTGTGGCTGCAGGGCAACCGCTCCAGGGGGCATGGAGAGCCATCCCACAGCTCCAGGGCATGGAGAGCCATCCCACAGCTCCAGGGGACATGGAGAGCCATCCCACAGCTCCAGGGCATGGAGAGCCATCCCACAGCTCCACCGTGTGCCATCCTCGCCCATTCAGTGTCAGATCCAGCTGATGCTCATCCCAAAACCCTCTGCTCTGGTCTCAGCTCCAATTCCATCTTTTCCAGCCGATGCCACGAAGCCTCTTCCCGAACAGCCACTCCTCTGGCCACGTTCCTGCCTCCTGGCTGGATCCACAGGCCTCCCAGGCAGGAACCAGAGGTGCTGGTAGGTAGGTAGGGAAGGGAGACACCCTTGCCCTGACGGAAAAGGCGCTGGACCACCTGGAATATCCTCGTGCACATCCCAGTGCTGGGTGGGCGCTCGCTCGTGCCGGATTGGGAAGCCCAACAGTAGATCCACCCGCTGGGAGCCAGCAGGGATGTGTGCTGGTGGCGAGCTGGCCCCATCCTCCTGGCTTTTTCCACCTTGTTTCCACGATCTCGCAGGGGAACAGGGTTCTGTGAGCCCCTCGGCCTCCCTGGGAGGGTTCCTGCAGCATCCCACACCATCCAGCTGGGAATGCCAGCAGAGCCCGGAGCACAAAGCCACCCCGCTGGAGGAGGAAGGGCAGGCACAGCCCTTCCTCACGTTCACAGCCTGCACAGCACAGCTTGGTCCCTCCAAATCCAGCAGGAATCAGCCCTGGCTGCCACCTCAGTGGGTTTTCCTGGCTCCCCCCCACCTTCTTCTCCCGGCTCTGCAGACCCACCGAGGAGCAAGGTTGGGGAGTCTGGATGGAGGGGGAGATCAAGGGGGATTTTTTCACACCCCCCCCCCAAAAATAAAAAAAAAAAAACCCCGCCTGCCAGAGCCACTCTCCCTAAACTCCCATCAATAAAACATCTGCAGAGAATTTAAAGCTAATCCTCAGCAGTCTCCGGGGTGTCGGAGCACGGGCGAGGATTTGCAGGCAGATGCACAAGGCTCTGCCAGCACACAAGGAGATGGCCCCTTTTCCTCCCGCTCCCACGGCTTCTCCCGACACCATCAGCCTCTGCTGCCTCTTTTCCCAGCTCTAAGACACGTTTTCTTTTACTGGTTCAGCCAGGGACCTTTGGGCACGGGCAGCTCGAGAGGGAAATATTTATCCTCGCAACTCGCCTCCAAAAAAAAAAAAAAGCCTCCCTCCGGAACACGCAGCCTCCCAGAGCCAGAGGGCTTTTTTGGCTCCTCGGGAATGATCCCAGATGTGAGGAGCCGGGCGTCCTCTGCACCAGGATCCTCTCACCACGAGGCCACGCCACGGGTGGGTGCCTTGGATGGTCACCCCATCCCCTAATGCTCAGCCTGGGGGTACAACACCCTTGGATCTCTGGGGTGCTCCAGTTCCTCTGAATTTGGGGATGCAGCTTCCCCCCCTGCACCCACAGAGCCTTTGGGGCATCCAGCAATGGGGGAACAGGGGGTTTTGCTTTCGTGCAAGGCTGGAGGTCTCCAGTGGAGCACCCTGGAGGTCCCCTGTCCCCCTGGAGGTCCTTGCCCCCCAAAATGTCACCATGAGACGTCCAGCATCGCCTCAGGCATGCACACAGCCGGCTCTGGAGCCCCCCTCCTGTCCTTGCCCAGGGGTCTCCCCACTCGTGTCCCCCTGGTCCTGGCACTCCCTGGGAAAGGGCACCCCCAGACTGGGGCTCGGGCCCGTGTCCCACCCCACACAAAGGCGTGGGAGGCACCAGCTGACCCTCCCCACCACCACCACAGCACCCCTTCGACCCCCTGGGATCGCGCAGGGAGCAGGGAGGGGAAGAGCCCGTCACCCCCACTCCACGCAGGGAGCAGAGCCCAGCTCCACGTCCCTCTGGAACGAGGCTGGCTCTGCCAACCTTCAAGTCTCCCCCAGCAGCAGCGCCCTGTCCCTTCTCGCTGTCCCCGCAGGACGGTGACACCCCGCCAGCCCAGGTTCCTCAGAGTTTTCCGTGTGCTCGGTGCTGCGGGGAGCTGGGATCACACACCGGGAACCCACGGGGAGCTGGGATCGCACGCCGGGAACCCACGGAGAGGCCGGGAATCGGGGATGGCATCGGGAGCACGACACTGGCACAGACGGAGCCACGTCCTGCGCGCACCGAGCCACGGCAAGGAGGGCAAAAACCCGGCATTTCCCACCCGCCTCCTTTTCACCCCAAATCCAGCACGGTCTGTGGGTCCTCCCCCCACCCTGCCTCTCTTTTCCAGCTGCACCTCCCGGGAGAGGCTGCCCTAGAAATGGGAAGCGTCTCCCGGCACAGACAAAGCTCCCCGGGAACTCAGCCGTGCTCCCTCTCTCCGGCGACACGCGCGGTTCCAGCCGCGGGCACGGCGATTCCCCACGCACACGCACACGCCACGAGCTCAACTTTCCCAGCCCGTTCCCCACGCCGCGCTCCCAGCCTCTGGAACGGCGTGGGGTGGGGAGCAGCACTGGGAGGGCACTGGGAGACACGGGTGGCAGGGGGCGAGAGGGGCAGATATCCCCCCAAAATGCGAATCCCTGCTGGTTGAGGAGGACAGAGGGATCGGAGACGAGCGGGGCTGAGCTGGCGGATGATCCCGCTCGCTCCATGCGGTGCCAGCGGCGGGGGCTGCGCTCGGGGTTGTGTCCCCCGCGTCCCCCTCCCCATTTTAAGTTTACAGGGAATGAGAGAATCAAGTTGCCCTTAGTTAAAGCCCCTCGCCGCGTTCCCCTCCTGCCGCAGCGCCAGCTCGCAGGGGGTCGGTCCCTCTCTCAGCCCCCGCAGCCTCTCACCCGGGGGTGGGGGGGACACGCCACCTCGGCCAGGCGACAGCCACCACCCTTCCCCAGCCCGGGGCACCAAGTCGGGACCACTCACCTAGGAAGAGGACGATGCAGAAGGCGTTTGCCAAGATCATGTTAGGAAATCCACGCGCTCCTCCACGTGTGCAAAAAAATAAAAAATAAAATAGAATAAAATAAAAATTTAAAAAATTAAAAAAAAAAAAAAAGGGATCGATGACAAAAAAAAAATATATATATATATATATAATAATTCCCAAAGCGAGCAGGTAAGATCCCAAATCCGGCGGGCTGGAAGGGAAGGGAAGAAGGGGGGTGTGCTCCGCCCGGCGCGGAGCCGGGTCCTCCTCAGCCGCTCGCCGCCTCCCGCATCCCCGCCGGGCTCCGCTCCGCGCTCCGGGCTCGGCGGCTCCGCGGGGCTCCCGGAGGAGCTTCTGCCGAGCTCCGGCTGCCGGGGCGGCGGGGAGGGGGGCGCGGCGAGGGGCGGCCGCGCTCCGCCGAGCCCCGGCGAAGGGGGCCGAGCCGGCGGTGCCGCCGTCCCCTCCCCGCCCCCGGCCCTGCCCGCCCCTCCACCTCCCCTCCGCCCTTCCACCGCCCTTCCGCCGGGGCAGGGGGCTGGCAGGGGGCGTGTGGAGACCCCCCGGCCACCGGCTTTGTCACCGGCTTTGTCACCGGCTTTATCCCTCTCACCCACCCCTGCTCCCCGTCTCGCCATCCATCCCTTCTTCTTCCCGAGGGGATGCACCTGCCTGTGTTTAACAGAGGACCCCTGGGGGGCTGCAGAGACAAAGGAGAGACCCCCCAAGCTTCCCAAACGCCCCCCCAAACCCCTCCTCGCCTTCCCCGGGTCTGTCCCCGGGCCCCTGCGCTGCTAAATCCACGGGGTTGGGAGGGAGGGATGCTCTGGGGAGGGGAGAGGGTTCTTGGATGGGTGATGACGATGGGGATGGGAGAGGGGCACCCAGGGGGGCTGCAGGGGCACAGGGACAAGGTGCCTCGGGGAAATGCCACCAGCTGCCAGGGGGAGGGAGCCAGGGAGCCCCCCCAAATTTGGGGTGGTGGTGGGGAAATACTCCCAGCTGCTCTGTGCTCCCGGGGTCTGCAGGAGGAACTGCACACACACACACACACACACACACACAGCCAGGGGATTAGACGTTCCCATGTGAGGCTCCTCGGGCAGCAGCTCCCTGCTCATCCCTCCTGCCATCCAGCCCCTGTGCCCCCCAACCTGGGGCTGGGGGTCACCACCACCCTGCTCCCCCTGCTGCCCCCCGGGCAGGGTCCATCTCCCTCCTCCCAGCCCGCTCACCCCTCTCTCGATCCGTGATTGGGGGTCAGGACCCTCCAAGTGCCGGAGATGGGGGGTCCTGGCCCAGGAAGCGGGAAGGAGGAGGAGGAGGAGGAGGATGCTTTGCTCTGCTACCTGGGAGCACGAGGGGAGCACAGCACTGAGCCTCCCCCCATCCACACATCCTTGTCTCCCGAGCCAGGGCCTTTGGAAAACAGCTGGCACATCACCTTGGCAAACAGAACAAAGGAGCACAATCCTCCAGAGCGAAGGGTCAGGCAGAAAGAAAGGGGAGGATGACAAACAGCAGATCAGAGCAGCACACATTAGCGAGGCTTCCCAGTTAACATCCTTCCCGTCCTATTCTTTGCCTGCTCTTTGCTCTCCCTGCCTTGGCTTCTCTTTGGAAAGAAGAAAAAAAAAACACACGTAGGCTGTGACTTAGCAGGATGTTCCCGTGCTTTTGCAGCTCCCGAATGGAGCCAGGGCTGGAGAGGGGTGTCCTGAGCTGCCCGGCTTTGGTTTGGGCAGGGCTCGCTGCTCGGGGTGTTACCCCCGTGTCCCTGGAGGGGACCCGCCATCCCTCTGTCCCCTTTGTGCTCCTCATTACTCCACCCTGGAAGGGGAATCCCAGCCGAGGGAGCAGCGGGATCTGCTTCAGCCCACCCTAAAGGCAAAGATCTGCTTTAGTTCCTGCCTTAATGGCATCCCAGAGCCGAGCAGAGGGAAAGGATCCCCTCCACCAGGAGAGGGATCTGCTCTCCGCTCTTCTTTCTGCTCTTTGGCCTCTGCACTGTCTCCCCCTCCTGCCTTGCCATGCTCAGGGCTGGACTGTGGCAGAGGGGAGGATTTCTCAGCCCTCACTGAGGTGACACCCGAGGGATTTTGCCCCCTCAGCTGCTGCAGGAGGGAAAGGCACAGCTTCCCCTCGGCTTTGCCTGTGTTTTATTTCCTCAGCCTGCCCACAGAGACCCTCACCCCCCTCCCCAGAGCCTGCTGCCCGTGAGAACACCCACCTCTGACTCCCTGAGCACACTCATGGGCTCGGCCACAGCACCCAGCTGATGGAGGGATGGGGCAGGAGCCCTGAGCTTTGCATCCTGGGGGGTTAATCCCAGCAGCATTCCCACTGCAGGCACTGACTGTGGCTCATCCCCGCTCCAGCCTTATCAGGAGCAGCCAGCAGCTACCTGGCCTCTCAGTTCGGATTTATTCCAGGGCAATTTACAGCCCTTCAATCAGGGGCATGGCATGGGAAGCATCCCCCCCTGGTCAGCTCTTCCCCATCAGCCTGTGTTTTGGGGGCAGGGGAGGTTGGATTTTTCCTTTAGGACAAGGGGAGAGGGATGGGATGGCAGAGGGTGGCTTTTCCCTGGCAGCTTTTGGGGGGCACAGGAGGGTTGCTGTCCCTCCCACAGCCACTCCAGCACAAAGAGGGCTCTGCCTGGAGCTGCTGCTCCCGGTGAGAGGGAGAAGGGAGGCACAGAGGGAGCAGGGAGGCAGGTAGAGGTTTTTGGGACCGTGGGAGGCCTGCGTGGTGCCTGGGAAGAGGAGCAAGATGCAACCCTGCTACAACCCTGGCAAATACTCATTTTTTGGGAGTGCAGAAAAAGCCACAAAAGCTCAACAAACTCAACAACTTTATTCCCACCCTTTGTGGAGTGACAGTGTTAACTAGCAAAGCTGATTACGGGGACACAGCTCCCAGTGCTCCCAGTGCCTCCAGCAGGGCTGGGCACCTTCAGGGTGAGGGGTGGTGGCTGGTTGCTGCTCCTCACCCCAAATTATCTCCCCCTTCCAAAGCACCCCGTTCCTGAGGGTTCCAGCATTCCCTTGGGGATGGAGACCCCTCCTTGGGGGCCGGGCTTTGTTCCTGCCCCCAAGGAGCTGATGGATGTGACTGGAGGATTTCTCCCCTCCTTCCCTGTAAGCCCCATTAATATGAGTTGGATTTGCTTACCCTCCTGACTCCGGGCTTTAATTCTGCAGAGCGTTATCACATTAATGGGAGTCAGGGTTGTTAACGTGATGGATTAGGCATTAACGGTGTAATCCCCGGGGGGGCAGGAGCAGCCCACAGCCCTCCCCACCCTCCCTGTCTTCTCCTCATCCTGACAGCGCTGAGAAAGCCCTCAGCACCTCCCAAGTGCCTGTCTCTGTGTGGGGTTCTTTCCCCCCCCTCTGGCGGGATTCAGGCAGGGGGATGCCTGGGCTGAGGGGATCAGGGCACCTTCCCCTGCTCTGCTCTCTGAAAAGATGCTCCAAATGGGGTTTTTTAACACCTCTGGGAGTTTTTAAGGTCCCCCATGTGTCCCAGGGGTGGATGGGAGGCAGGACCTCCCCGCTGCTCCCGGTGCTGGGGGTTCTGCAGCCCGGGGATGGAGCAGGACCAGCAGCTCCTGTCCCCCAGTGTGATCCGTCTGCTTGGTTCCTCTTGGCCCCAAGGCCCTGGAATTTGGCCCATTATAGAATCATGGAATCATGGGATGTTTCAGCTTGGAAGGGACATTAAAGCCCATAAAGTCCCATGGGCAGGGACGCCTTCAACCAGACCAGGTTGCTCCAAGCCCCGTCCAACCAGGCCTTGAATGGGTCTCCTCTCCTTGCAGATGGAACTCTATTTTTTATTCTTTTTTTTTCACATCTCACTAATTTACATATTTTTATCTCGCTAGTTTGTATATTTTTATTTTGTTATTTTACATATTTTTATTCCTCTCTTTTATATATTTTTATTTCGCCGCTTTACATATTTTTATTCCGCTCTTTCATGTATTTTTTTATTTCGCTATTTTACACACTTTCATTTCACTGCTTTACATATTTTTACTTCCCTGTCTTTTTACACATTTTCTATCTCCCTGTTTTATGTGTTTTCCATCTCGCTCCAGGTTCGCCCTCGCCCTGGCTCACCCCGGGCACCCTGGCTGGTGCCAAGCCCTGTGTGTGGCACAGGACACTCCCGGGGGGATGTAGGGCAGGGATACCTCCCTTCTCCCTTCCCAAACCCCCTCTGCTCCTTCCCACAGCGGGGAAAGCCCAGCTCGTCCCCCTCCTCCTCCAAACCATGCCACGACCCGGGTTTTCCTCTCAAGGAGCCGATCCCCAGGGGCTGAATCCGTCGGGGCTCACCCGGGCACAGCCAGTGACCCCCGGGCAGCCCGCGGGGGTGTCCTGGGGGGGTCACATTCCAGGGCTGCTGACAGCGGCCAGCTCGGAGCCGGGGGCGCCGGGAGTCCTTGGCACACCCCGACGCTGATGGGCCCCGACAGCCACACGCAAAGCAGAGGCTATTTTTGCCCTGGCTGCTGTTTTTCTGAGCTGATCTTCCCTCTTTAACCTCTGCCGGGCAAACCAGCCCCCTTCCCTTCCCTTCTCTTCCTCCACCGCTCTGCCTGCTCGGGGGTCCCGGGGGGAGCAGAGGGGTGGGATAAGAAGGGGCTCTGCTGATTCCAAACCCTGCTCCGAGCCCTCTGAAGGGAACACGAGGCTGGGGAAGGGTCCCAGCGCCTCCTGGGCCTCGTCCTCCCCTGGGTGGTGGCCCTGGTTGGGGAGAGCCCTGCCAAGAGCAGGGGCAGGTCCTGCCCTGCCAGGGGTTCCCAAATCAGAGCTGGGTTATCCCTAAAATGCTTGGAGGACACCACGGGCTAGGACGAGTCCTGACAATCCCGAGGTATCCCAGGGCGCTTCCTCTGCCCTCAGTGAGTTTTTGGGAGCCGGCAGCCCCCTCCCGTGGCAGAGCCATGCGGAGCCAGGCGGCTGGTGGCACTGGGAGGGCTCAGCCCAGCCCGCTCCGAGAGCTGTCAGCTCTGCTGCTCACACACCCGTCAGCCTCCACGGCCCCAAATCGCAGCTGACATTTCCATCAAACCCCTCGGCACCTGAGTGAGACGAGGAGCTGAAAGGGAAGCACTTGGGAATTTTTTTTTTTTTTGTGAAGGAACATATTTCCCACCCCCCGCCCTCAACTCGGCTCTCTCCTCCCGTGTCCAGGCACGGCTCCCACTCCCAGAGCCCCACGGATTTACTCGGAGTTACTGGGCACATCAGCATGGGGACACCTCTGATTTCAGCTCAGGACCCTGCTGGGGTGGACTGACAGACTCTTCCATGTGCAAGCAGCTTGTTCCCATCCAGTGGAGGGCACAGGGATGGAGGAAGAGGAAGAGGGACTTGTTCCCATCGCATGGAGGGAA